CATAGGCATCCACGGCCTAACACATAACCAAAATTCCAGATTCCTAGAAGGAAAGCAGGTGTTCAGCATAAATCATATTGTTTACGCAAGGAGTTTAGGTACAGTGAACCATCAGTTAGGGTGTAGTGAGAACTGTCCTAGAGTCTAGGTCTTTCAAAAATTGCTATTTTTATATCTCTGTCTAATCTTCCATTCAATGTCTTCTAGCTATCAGAGACAAGATTCCATTTTGCCATCTAGAAAATACCAGTGGATCTCTAGTTACTAAATAATAACTGATATCAAGTCATTTTTAACAAGTATGGGAATTAAAATTAAGTATGTGGTAAGAAGGGTGAGGCCACATTCATCTTTAAAATATCAGGAGTTATTAGTCATTTTCTTCTCTGTATAGCTTTCTGAAGAGTTGCATGTAAACAAATTAGAATGTTGAGTCATTTTAAATATCTAGGTAGTACTTAGAGGGTTCCTCTGGTTTAATAAAAAATGCAAAGAAGAAAATACATCCATAATATGAATAATTAATGATAGGATTTTTTTCCCAATATCTACTTATAGGTTTCTTCATAAAGCAGAGCTTTCCTGTTCTGCTTTCTGTGTTCTCTGTACACATATGTGAACCACAAAGCTGAAGAAATATAGCCTCTTAAAGCACATGCTAAGAGGTTATTACTTCTAAAACAGTTCTTTCTGCTTGTAGTAGGTATGTTCAAGGATTTTGGCGTCCCTTCTTACCCATAGACTTACACCGGTTGTTGCCATTCTGACTTTATATGCATTATCTTGGTGTGGATAGTAGCTCAGCAGCACTGGTCAGCCAGCCTGGGACTGAGGATGGGGAAGGTAGTTCAGACTGAAAATGGTAATCCAAGGGTTGCAAATTCAGAGGTAGCAGAGGTCACAACAGAGGCCAAAGAGTGTTTTGTATTTAAGGACAAGCCAGAAAGCCAGGACCAAATCCAGTAACAATAGCAGTTAGCTTAAAGTCTGCAAACCAGAGTTGGTTGATGATGGGAAGAAAACAAAGGTTTAAAATAACTTGCAAATGTTGACATTTAGAAAACTCTTCGATGTGCTTATATAATTGTATCATCACCCTCTACAGTGGTGCTATTATTGCCTTTAGTCAGATATAATAAGAGACTTGGGATTAAGCCACAGTAAGTAACAGAGACACAAATCTTTTAATTTTTCAAACTTAAAATCCCATGTTCTTAGATAGCAATGTTTTAAAAACTGCTCCAGTGATTCCTAGGATTCTGCACAGATACTTCAGGTAGGGAGTGAGGATAGGGTTCCTCATCCCTACTAGGTCACATTCCAATTCCATCCCCGTTCCACCACAGAAACTCAGTTTTAAATATTGTGACTCTAAGTAAGATTCCTCTGAACAAGATAATTTTGTTGCTTAAAAAAATTCCAACAGATTCATATGTTGTGTTAAACCTTTTTAGACCTGGTAGTATGAGAAAGTGACAACCAGAGGTCAGAAATCCCAAAATGAACACAAAGAGAAAACTGTCCTAGCGGGTTTTTTTATTAAAGTATCATTAATATACAGTCTTATATTGGTTTCAAAGGTACATCACAGTGATTCAACAATCCCGTGATCAACTTATATTGTGACTGCGAATTATTCTGCCCTTTTATCCTTCCTCCCCTCCCCCTTGGTAACTAGTCACTTCTCAGTGTCTGTGAGTCTATCCTGTTTTGTCCTTTCTGTTTTGCTTTGTTTTTATATTCCACAAATAAGTGCAATCATATGGTATTTGTCTTTCTCTGCCTGGCTTATTTCACTGAGCATAATATCCTGTAGATCATCCATATTATTGCAAATGGCAGGATTTCTTTTCTTTTTATGGCTTGTCCCTTAGTGTTCTGAAACAACTTCTTGAGCTTAGGTAGAAGCAGAATGTGATCTCCCAACCTCACAGTAATAACTACCTGTGAACCACAGGAATTCCAATCAAATGACAGAGAAGGTATGATGAGATTTTGGAGTTTAAAATTCTATCAGTAATAGAATCTATTTTATAGGAGCAATTTAAAGATGGATTTGGCATTCCTTGAAAATTCTTAAGTTTTAGAAGTTATTGAAATTATAAACCTTTATCACAGATGAAAAACCTTCATAAAACCGTTTATTAGAAATGCCTTATCTTGATGGCTTTCTTTTTTAAAAAAATTTTTATTAAGGTATGATTGATATACACTCTTATGAAGGTTTCACATGAAAAAACAATGTGGTTACTACATTTACCCATATTATTTTGGTGGATTTCTTAAAATGTCTTTTCAAGATACCACTATTCAAAGTAATGTAAATGGAGAAAAGCCAAATCATTTAATGTATAGAATCTCCTGGCTATTCAGCAACCAAACTGGTATATTAGAAATTACTGACTTAAGAGGGAGATGAGAATTCTAATTCCAACACTGTCAGTTATTCTGGGACTATAGGCAAGCTTGGGCCTCTAAAATGGGAAAGTTCATCTTAGATGAATTCTAAGATTCTTTCGTGGAAAGTTTAATTTACCTCTGCCATAATCTAATCTATTTCTTCTCCTCCTACTCACTCCTTCGATTAAGTTTTGTTTGAATTTCCAGCTTTGTTAAGGTATAATTAACATGTAAATCCAATCCATTTCTTAAACATTGAAATGCTGTTCTATAGTCATATAAGGGTGGAATTGCAATTATAATAACTAACATTTATTGAGCTTTTATGTGTGTGTCTCATACTGTACCAGGGACAACACTTGAAAATTCCTATTTAATTCTTACAGTGGCCATGGTACTTTACCCATGGAGAAACTAGACTCATAAAAGTTAAATAATTTGGTCAAGGCCTTACAGCCAATAAGTAGGAGAGCTAGAGACATTCTTTACTCTGAACCATGAAACTTCTACATTGAGTTTTCCTACAAGGTGTAAAATCTTAAAGAGGTGGATATCTAAACCAGAAAGTCAACAGCCATAATTAGGATCATTAATAACTAAGGAGTCATATAACTTTTACATTTGCTATAAAGCCTGGTTAACAAAGTTATTTTTCTAGTGCATAAGCTAGGGCTTTAATATGCATGTTATATATAAAAGATTCTCAGAGCTTGAGCTAATCTAATCCAGATATCTTAAATAGCTTAAAAACATGGTCACCCTGTTAGTGGCAGAGAAGTAACTTAAACCCAAGGTTTTCTGCATCCAAGAACGATACATAATAACATGATGTCTTCTTTGCATGTAATTATGCACTAAATAAATATTTGCATGAAGAATATAGTTCTGATAAGCATTCACATGCTTGGTTATTATTTCCTAAATGATAAGATAGAAGTATGAGAATACTTAAAGTAACTATTAATGATTTTATGTGGAAATTCATAAAACATGAAAGTGAATTACTATCATCTTACTTGTGTCAGAAATTCTTAATTATTTGATAAAGGATTTACTGGGTTCTGAGATCTTTAATTATATATTTGTTCTGAATCTCAGAGAAAAGGAATGTTTAAAGTCTTAGGTCAAACTGCCTTTGACAAGAAACTCAATAACTACTGTCAGAGAGGAGAATTACAAGAATAAGGGTAATTTAAAGGGACATCATCATACTTTAGGAGACATTGTGATAAAGTCTTTCTCCTTGAATTGAATATTTCACTATTTCAGCCAAATTTATGTGTATCTGAGACTTTCTCTAAAGGATATTTATACCTGAGTTCTATTTTATAAAGTCTCTTATCATGGGTACTCTCTCAGTTATTTTATTTTGAACTACAGAAGCCATTAGCTAAAAACAGCCCCAGTTGATGCTAGTTCTAGATGAGAGTTCATGTCCCAGAATTTTTTTTAAAGCTTATCACAAATTTAGTAATCATTCCTTGAGCCAGCATAACTTCACAATTGGAAATGTTTGCTGTCATTGTAAACAAGTGCTTAAATTGAAGAGATCATGATTGATCCAACAGGATGGATGGAAAAATTTTCTAATGGAATAGGTAGTTATGATTTGTCATTAAATTTCCCATGCAAGCTTCAGACACAAATTCAGGGTGTTGTGTTTAAATCAGTTAATTCAGTAAAAATATTCTCTAGAAAACCATATTAAATGACTCAAAAATGGGTCTAGCCACAGTGAAATCATTAGGTCAAAGGTACACTATCTTCCTCAAATGTCTTATCAGGAGAGGTGTTCCTTGGGCATCTTATGTAAAGTTATATCCCCATCACTCTAGAAACTTTATTTTGTTTACTCTCGATTCCCCATCAGCTGGCACATAACAGATACTTATTGAGTATCTGTTGAAAGAATGTATAAAGAGTAAATAAAATTCATAACTGAGAAAAAATGTCTAAATTAATATATTTTATATAGTGATGTAGCAAGTAAATGAATTGTATAAGAAGATTATTTAGTTATTTTATTTGCATCCTAAAAGCTTATGTATTCTATTTGAGAGGAAGAATGGCTTCATTTGACTCATTCAGTTATATCCAAATATGTACCCAGAAGCCTAACAGGGATTTTACAAAAGTTAATTCTACAATTTCCAGTCTTTCCAAATAAATTTAATTTTAAGGTTGTTGTCTGTATGGGAAGAAAAAATTTGTGAGTAGGAAGAGTCTATAATGGCCAGTATTAATGTCAGTGATGGTATATGAGGCCACAAAACTCCATTTATACCAATATATCTATTTGTGTATCAGGAATGTATATCTGGGTTATATGGACTTCATGTAAAAATACTTCAAATAGTATTCTGTGACAATTTTTCAGTGAAGCTTGTGTTTATATCCTTTAAAAGTAGGTCAGATATGCTGGCAAGTTAAGGCAAGGTAAAACAGTATCTCATACTACTGCATGCTAGCCCAGTCTGCCTCTCCCCAAGGTCCCCAACCCCCTAGTTCCCAGCCAAAAAAAAAGAAACAAAAGGAAAACATTCCCTCAGAAAAACAGATTTTTTAAAAAATGATCCTTTTCTCCATTTTTAAAAATACAGGAACAAGTTCCAGTTCCAGTCTATCATCCAACACCTAGTCAGACTCGCCTAGCAACTCAGCTGACCGAAGAGGAACAAATTAGGATAGCTCAAAGAATAGGCCTTATACAACATCTGCCTAAAGGAGTTTATGACCCTGGAAGAGATGGATCAGAAAAAAAGATCCGGGAGTAAGTTTTAATAAATTTATGCATGTTTCAAAGACCTATCATTAGAGATTTGCTTCTGAAAAAATATTCTTCATTTTAGAAGTTGGATATTTAATGTAATCAGTTCGTGCAAGATAATGTTTAGATGTGGCAATTCAGAATTTTCATTTAAAAATAGCTTAGAAATAATGGTATGAATTCTGACCACTTTATTTGTTGCCTGTGTTTATTTGGATGACAGTTAAAATGATTCACCTATTAACTAGTGTCAACATTGCTGGTGGACATGTTAGCTGGAAAAGCAGTTTGGCAATATGTGAAGAACCTTCAGGTCTATAACTTTAGAGACAGTTAATTTTGCAGATGTATCCCAAATATGTACCTCACTCCAACTCCTAGAGCTTTATGCACAGAGATTCACCCAAGTTTTTAGTGAAAAACAATAGTAGAGATATAGTTCAGTAAATTGTGGTATCAGAATACTTTAGGAGGTTATACAGCCATTAAAATTGTTTTGTTAAGGTTTTTACTGATGTGAGCAAAATCTTATGTCCATTTTTAACTTGTATAATTTTGTTAAGCCTGATGAGTTGAATACAAAATTTTGCGTCTGTAGAGTTTTGTCCTCCGAGCTCATTATTTTCTGAGAATCCCTTATGAGGATAGCTATTCTCCTTTTAGTTTCAGAACGGTCTTGCCAGCACATAATCTAATTTACTGTTGATGTTTGGCTGTTTGAGCCATAGCATCATTTAATGCTAGTGCTTAAGATCATAATCTAATATGTGACTTCTGAAACACTGCAGAATTGGGTTGTTTCTTGAACCTGTAGAATAAAGTGGAGTGAGCTTGAAACCGGGGCTAATGAAGAGACCTTTGGCCTAAGCCCAGTACTTAATCAAAAATTAGCGGTTCTGTTTTTACATACAATTTTTAAATGAGCAATCTTACTACTGGGATTATACTAAAAAACTCAGGTAAACAAAATTGATCTAACTAATGGTTTGCTGCTTAAAGCATCACATTCTCGTTCAGGTGTCTTCTATAATATGTAGCTGTCTCACTAGCATAGGTCCAGCACTGGACTTGATCCCCATGTGATCCATTTTTCTTGGCTTTGTTGATTACTCTCAAAGCTTCAAATACCTAGGGGATTTTGATTTGCATGCTTTGGTAGTAGGATGCCAGGCATGCTATTTTTATCTATTTAGATTAGATTAATACTGTTTGTAATGGGATTTTAAGGATCACCTCCTAAAAAAGCTTTCTTATTTCTCTCCCTCACCCCGACAGGTGTGTGATCTGCATGATGGACTTTGTTTATGGGGACCCAATTCGATTTCTGCCATGCATGCACATCTATCACCTGGACTGTATAGATGACTGGTTGATGAGATCCTTCACGTGCCCCTCCTGCATGGAGCCAGTTGATGCAGCACTGCTTTCGTCCTACGAGACTAATTGAGCCAGGGTCTCTCATCTGACTTCAAGTGAACCATCATTTTTGGTGGTTTTGATCTTTTGTCACTGAGCCCAAAGAGCCAGGGATTAGGAATTAAGATCATGCACAAAAGTTTTCCTAAAAATTCCTGAATGGCTGCAGATGTTGGGGGAAAGTACGTCATATTTTAGAAACTTAGGGGAAAAGTAGGATGGTATTTTTATGTAAAGCCTTGACCCAGTGTTTAAAAATATAATTGTATTTAGATCTTGTTATCGCTCCAGTACATAGGAATTGTGTAAAGTGCTACAGCAACTGTATATGTTTAAATTGTGTGTGTTGAAGATTAGGAAAAAGATAGTGGTTGTTTTCCCTAAATGAAACAACTTTCTTTTTACCCCTGCCACCCAAATTCTTTTCCGAAGTTGCTGGCATTTGGGTCAAGGTTTTATTAAAAGCTACATTTTATAACACTGGCACAAAAAAAAAGTAGTTTTAAGCTTGTTTGCACAGTTATTTTTTTCCATTGGAAATGGAATTCATTGCCTTAGGTCTTTTTAAATAGTGTATTATTATCGTTGGGGCTGGCTCTATGCTTGAAAACCAGTTTATTTATAACCTGTTACAAGTGCTATATCTGTTTGCAGTTAGGAAATGCAGAATTCAAAGTTATCTCCTAGCTTGTAAGCAAACTGAGATGCACTATCCCTTTTCTATAAAAAAATAAGTTAATGTCAGAAAACCAACACTAATAAAGTGGGGTTTAATATTACCCTTTCCTATGTTTTATCTAATTATTTTCGTTGTTAATATGGTGATAATTGAAAGTCAAGGTGAAGTTTTAAGTATTAAGATTTCTGATTTATTGAGTTTGATAATGCCACCATGCTTAAGTAAAAATGAAAGTGGAACCATGAAACTGAAAAGTTTCTCAGTTGTATCAGTTTTGATTTATTCTTTCCTGTAACCTCCTGTTGTCTTGAACCATAGCAAAAGGATACTGCATCTCTTATTATCGTAGTGCTGAGGTTATTGAAGTTATATAAAACACATCTCCATCTTTGTTTCTTGGAAAGGATAAGTCCTGCCAGGTGACTGACAAGTCTAATAAGCAGGGAAGAATTAAGAGAAATATATTTCATGTTTTGCACACAAATGCAGAATTTGTATAACCACATGACTTCACAGTTGTGATCTCAAAAGAAGGAATTTCTCCTTTATCTTTTTCTTGAGGTTAATGTAAGAACACTCTGAATCTCTAAGCTTCTGAAGTGTTAGAGGTAGAAATGGTCTAGTAAGATGTAGTTGTAGTGTTTTATCCATTTAGCATGTGTTTATTTTTCCTTATGTACTCAAAGTATTTGTTCAGATCAGTGATATTACAGCTAAAAAATCATTCATTAGCAAAAGTAATCTCAACCTAACAAATTGGAAATGTTTCTTATATTGAGTTGAATATTTGACTCTAACACTTTTCTACATACAAAAAAAAAATCTTGAAGGTTCTTCATAATTGCATTATAGAGGAATTTAGTATGTCATAAATACTTTATAAAGATTTGACAGTCGACTGTAGTATCCATATGTTGGTTAATTTTCTTATAAGTCCATGATGGAAAGACTTAAAAAATGAATTTGGGAAAAAACTGAAAGAAATTAGATTATCAGGTTCTGTTAAATTGTTATATGTATCTCACTTAAGTTTTTGTTCATTAATTTATGTCCATCCAATTACATAAAGCAAATTTGGAGGAAACACCTGAAGTTGTGCAATATTTTCAGCGATACTACTTTTTTTTATCCTTGTGTTTTCTACTTAAACATGATGTCTGTCATCAAGTATTATAGTCAGACTCTTTTTTCCTAGATTGTTAAAATTGGTAAATGAATTTTTTTTTTAAATCATCTTCTGTATTGCTCTTAGTCTTTATTTATTACAAGGCTTCTTTCACAGTAGTTTGGTGATGATATTGAGAAACTAGTATTGAGCTGAATATTTTGTTAAGGTACTTTGTATTCTTTAATTTGATCTCCACGTACTATATTAAGATTAATCAATTTTGGCTTCTACTAAGTTAAATAAAGTTGTAATACAGTTGTAAAGGGCTAAAATTAGAGTTGATTAGGTAAGATTGTTCCCCAGTTATCTAATCCTTTCTTTTAAAACAGACGTATATAAATTAATTACTTTTAAACCTCTCAGGTACATACTTTTTCGAAAGTATTGGTTTTTATGGCTTGGCATTTAATACCATCTAATCATAAATTTAGAAGCTTGATAGCTTCAAATCTTCTAAAGCCAAATAGTAGGCACAGAATATTTAGATCTTGGCAAGGCATATTCAAGCTTGGGTATAGGATTTCAAATGTCTAAAAAGCCTAACCAGAAAAAAAAAATACAGGAATTTTATCCTTTTAAATGTAAACCCAACAAGTTGATATACTTTCAAATACTTGTGGTTTGGTTCCCACAAATTTTTTTTCAGTTCTGTGAGTGTTCTTTTTAGGAAATATCTTAAACCAGGTATTAGAAGATTCTCCCCCTACAATCTATGTTCATGTGATATGAAACACTATGAATTTACAGAATACAGTGAGCATTGAGGTAACCAATTGTCTGTGTACAAAGCCCCATCCGTTATCAGGAAGCATGCATTTTTAAAGAGGAGTAACAAAGTAGCCAAAAGCAGAGCTGCTTGTGGTCTTGGGACTGAAAATGGTAAACAGGAGAGAAGGTAAGTTTCTTTGGCATAATTCAGAAATATTGGCAGTTTGTTGGCTACCTCTGCTTACAAAGACATTTGCTAGCAGTTAGATTCTCAGAGGCAGCTGATTACACTTTCATATAGGTGCATCATAGCCAATATAATAACCTCAACTAATTTTTTAAGCCTTAAATTTTGAAATAAGCGGGCATGAGAAAAAGCTAGATTTTTGGTTAGTATCTGCTGAAGTAATATTACATTTAGTCACCTGGATTTAAAGATCATCTACTCTTACTGGGTGGGGAGAAAGTCAGAGAAAATAGTATAAGGCTGGGGGCAGTGATGGGAGGAGCAAGCACATCGGACACTGATGACGTGCCAAAGTCCCCGGCTGCTGCCCCCTCCCACGTCGGACACTGATGATGTGTCAAAGTCCCTGGCTGTTGCCCCCTCCCAACCTGAAAAATGTGCCTTGGGCTAGCCAATCCTCGCACCGCTATAAATCTAAGCTCTGCCTCCCCCTACCTTCTTTAAAAACTCGCTGCCTGTCTGCTTATGTGCAAATTCCCCAGCCTCCATTTCTATAGACTGGGGAAATCTCACCCAGGTATTTGCGTTCAAATAAACTACCTGGCCCTTTGTTGCCTCTCGCCTGCTTATTTCGGCTAGAATATATCTTACATTTGGTGCTGAAACCCGGGAAGGAGCATGAGCCACGGGGCCCCGATCGGCCACCAGCGGCCCCGCCCCCTCCTTCCCTGACCCGGGACTTCAGCCTGCTCTCCGCTGCGTGGACTATTTTCTGGGCCCAAATGGTCTAGCTCTCCTGTAACTCGCTCTAAGTCACAGCGGTCTCAAGTTCACATGATAGCTCCTCTGAGAGAGGTAGCAGGAGCTGAAGGGGTAGTGCAGGTTCACGTTCCCTTTTCCCTGGCAGACTTGTCCCACGTAGAACAGCAATTGGGGTCCTTTTCCTCCAACCCCGTAATGTTCGCTAAACAGTTTAAATATCTTACTTGAGCTTACAAGCTCACCTGGCACGATGTACATGTAGTCCTCCAATCCACTCTAACCCCGGAGGAATATGACCGTGTCACGGTGGTGGCACAGCACTGTGCCAATGAGGACCATGCCACAGATGAACGGGAACCTATGGGCAGGGAAGCTGTTCCTCTACAAGAACCCCTATGGGATTATAATTCTCCCGAGGGTGAAGCATGCCGGGATCTCATGGTTCACTACTTATTGACAGGTATGAACTCAACTGCCCAAAAAGCTATCAATTATGATAAACTTAGAGAAATTACCCAGAAGGCCTGATGAAAACCCATCAGAATTCCTCAAGCGCCTGAAAGAAACTCTGGGAGCTTTCACTAAGATTGACCCAGCCTCAGCATTGGGTTCCTCTCTCCTGGCCATGCATTTTATAACTCAGTCGGCTCCCGATATCAGGCACAAGCTTAAAAAGGCTGAGGATGGTCCCCAGACCTAGTAGATATGGCATTTAAAGTTTTTCATGCCCGAGAGGACGAGAGCAAGAAGAGGTCAGCTGCCCAAATGGCAGAACAGACTCATGCCATAACAGCTGCTCTGCGGCTGGCTCGTAGAGATCGTCGGGATGTCCCTGAAGATCGACTCGAACCTCCAGGCCCTTGCTTTCAGTGCGGTGAAGAAGGGCACTGGGCACGGAAGTGCCCTAACCCACACAAACCGACCAAACTGTGCCCCAGCTGTGGTAAGCGAGGTCATTGGAAAGTAGACTGTCCACCAAGGGTGGTCCTCCCCTGGCGGCAGAGCCCCACGGGGGATGGACGCCCTTGAAGGACTACCCTTCAGACCTGCTGGGCATCCTTGAAGATTGAAGATGCCTGGACTCGGACACCCCAATCACCCTTGCCACGCCCAGGGCTAAGCTGTGGGTAGCAGGTAAGCCCATCTCCTTCTTGGTGGACATGGGGGCTACCTACTCTTCTCCCCTCCTCTAAAGGGCCTTTATACCCTGCTGAGGTCTCCATAGTTGGGGTCATGGGAACCTCCTCCAAGCCTTTAGAGACGGGCCCATAGCCTGCACCTTTCAATGCATCTTTTTTTGCTCATTCCTTTCTAGTCATGCCTTCCTGTCCTACCCCTCTGTTAGGAGGGGATTTGCTCTATAAGTTAGGAGCCTCTATTTCCCTCTCACCTTTTAAATGCCTACAGGACACAAGAAACTCCTTCATTGCTTTAGTCAGCAAAGGAGAGTTAGACAACAGAGACCTGAGTCTCCCAACTCCCTGAACTGTTGTCAATCCATTCGTGTGGGACATCTCCACCCCCATGGTGGCAACCCACCACACCCCAGTTTTAATACGCCTTAAAGACCCATCCCGCTTCCCTTCTCGGCCTCAATTTCCTATTTCGCAGGCTCACCGAAGGGGACTACAGCCTATTGTTAATCGTCCACTCTTGCAAGGGCTTTTACTAACGACTAACTCTCCATGCAATACTTCCATCTTGCTGGTGAAAAAGCCTTCTGGAGCATATCGCCTCATTCAGGACCTCCGAATAATTAATGAGGCTGCTACACCCAGTAGTGCCTAACCCATATACTCTTCTGTCTCAGGTCCCATCCGGTACCTCTCATTTTACTGTACTAGATCTTAAAGATGCCTTTTTCACTATACGTCTCCACTCAGAATCACAGCCACTATTTGCCTTCACGTGGGAAGACCCTGACACCTGTCGATCTAGACAACTGACCTGGACAGGTCTACCTCAAGGTTTTAGAGATAGCCCCCATCTTTTTGGACAGGCCCTGGTGGAAGATCTCTCGCAACATTGAATGGGCGAGAGTACTCTCCTCCAATATGTAGATGATCTTTTACTTTGCAGCCCCTCAAAAGAAGCCTCAGTTCTAGACACCACATCTCTTCTTAATTTCCTGGCAGACATGGGATACAGGGTATCCCCTACCAAAGCACAGCTATCTGTGCCCCAAGTTACATACCTCTAACTCCCACCACTAAAGCCCTAATAGCAGACCAAGAGGCTGCGATTAAAGCTCTCTTGCCACCTAACCTACTTCAGGAGCCGAGATACTATCCTTTCTAGGATTAGTGGGGTTTTTCAGACACTGGGTGCCTAACTTTGCCCTTCTGGCCAGACTGCTCTATGTGGCTGCTACAAAGACTTCTACTGGGCTGCTTTCAATCAGTTGTGGAATGTGTTGCACTCATGCCCCCCCACCCCACCCATTGATGCTTCCTGACTTAACTAAGCCCTTTACCCTATATACAGCAGAGAGGGCAGGAGTGGCAACTGGAGTGCTGGTACAGCCAGTGGGGCCAGGGTACCGTCCCTTTGCCTTTCTCTCCAAACAGTTGGATACCACTGCCAGGGGGTGGCAGCCTTGCCTCCAAGCCCTGGCAGCTGCAGGAAGTCTGGCCCAAGAAGCCCTGAAATTAACACTCCAACAGCCCATTACTGTGTATTCCCCACACCAGTTACAAGATCTTTTGAGTCATAAATCCCTGGCCTCCTCGAGTCCTTCAAAAGTACAAGAATTCCACCTCCTGTTGATTGAACATCCACAGGTAACCCTACAAGTCTCTCCACCCCTTAACCTAGCCTCCTTGCTTCCTGTCAGCGATCAGCTAGATCAGCCCACTCATTCCTGTGTAGAGATTGTAGAAGCTCTTAGAAAACCTAGAGAGGGCCTTCAAGACATGCCCCTCGAAAACCCTAACTTGACCTTTTTCGTAGACGTAGCTCGGTGAAGGGGAGTGATGGGGTGCAAAGGGCAGTCTATGCAGTGGTGACTCTGTTGCAAGTGATAGAAACAAACCTACTCCCATCTGGGACCACCTCCCAGAAAGCCGAATTAGTAGCTCTTATCTGGGCATTACAGCTGGCAGCCAGGAAGAGGGTCACAATTTACACTGACTCTAAATATGCCTTCCTAATTATACACACTCATGCTGCGAATTGGAAGGAAAGGGGCTTCCTTTCCACCAAGGGAACCCCAATCATCAACGGCAGGGCTGTCAGCTGCCTGCTACAGGCCATACAGGACCCCAAGGAGGTGGCCATCATGCATTGTAAAGGACATCAGACTGGAAACGATCCAGTAACCAGAGGTAATGTGTTGGCAGACACCACGGCCCGACAGGTAACATCCAGGTCTAGCCCACCCTCTGTGCTGTTTCTTTCCTCCTCTCTACTG